TTGAGATGGAGTCTCACTGTTGCCCAGGCTGGTGTGCACTGGTGTAATCTCGACTCACTGCAGCTTCTGCCTCCTGGGTTCAAGCAATTCTCCTGCCTCAGCCCCCCAAATAGCTGGGATTATAGGAGCCCAATACCATGCCTGGTTAATTTTGCATTTTTTGTAGAGACGGGGTTTCACCATGTTGGACAGGCTGGTCTCAAACTCCTGACCTCAAGTGATCCACCTTCCTTGGCCTTCCAAAATGCTGGAATTATTGGCATGAGCCACCATGCCCAGCCAAGCTTTCTATTTCTTACTCACTTCATCCATAAATTGGGAAAAATAGTAGGACTTCTTGTAGGGTTGAGGTTCAACTGAATTAAAGCACTGACCAAAGTGCTAGGCAAATATGAAATGCTATCTAAGTGTCAGCTATTTTAGCTGTTACTGAAAGCAGAGGCCACATTCATTTTATTCTTCATAGAATCTAATACAGTACTTACGCAGAAAGCAGGTATTAAATAAAATGGTTAAGTGAGTAGACACTGAGCCAGGAGTTTGTCTGGTGTGTTAGAGGCTCGAAAGGACAGTATGGTTGCAGCAGACAAATGAAGAGGGAAGAATATGAGGTGAAGTCAAAGAAGTTGCAAAGGCCAGATTATAGAAGATTTATTCTGGCCGTTTTAAGGCCTGTGGCTTTGATTCTGGGTGAGATGGAAACCAGTGAAGAGTTCTGAGCACAGGGCTCATTCTTTAGTGGGGCAAGAGTTGAAGTGGAGAAGCCAGTAAAGAGGAGACTGTAGAAATTAAGGTAGAAAATGTTTGAGATCACACCATGGTGGTAGCAGTAGAGGTGGTAAGACAGGCTGGATTCTGGAGATATTTTAAGGTTGAATCTATAAGATTTTCTGATAAATTAGATATGGAGAGTATGAGAAAGAAAAGAGTCAAGGATGGCCCTAAACCTTGGTCTAAAGATTTGGAAGAATAAAATGTCAGCAATGGTGGAAAGAAAAGCTCAAGAGGGTTTTGGAGATACTAAATTTGGAGTGTTTACTAGATACCTCATTGTAAGCAGTTGGACATAGGAGTCTACACTGTGGAAGAGATATAAATTTGGGAGTTTTCAGGATACAGACAGTATTTCAAATCAGGAGACCAGAACACAAAAGTGAACGAAATATTCAGAGAAGATACTGGGGCCATAGAAGAGATTTTGCTGATCATAGATTAAGGGACTTAGGTGTTATACTGGAACTGGTGTCTAAAGAAATAGGCATTAGAAAGGGGAAAAGACTATACAAAGACAAGTGGGAGGATGCCAAAGAGAAACTTCTTCTATACCCAAGAAAGAGAGAAGAAAATCTCTTCCTCCTCCTCCTCTTCATATACGTCAAGGCCCTTTCGCTTCCAGTGCTCAGAAATCAAGTTAGTCTTATCATCAATAATAACAGTTAATAAACAAATTAATTTAAGGTTGACTTTTGTAACTTAAATTTTAGTTTAACTTTTCAAATAGTTCAATGACATTTAATGTTTAGTGATAGCACCAAAAATTAATGCTAAACATTAAAGAGATACATATATGTAAAAATAATTTGAAATGACTGTCTTCAATGGAAGAGCACTTTCTCAAGTATCTGTGGGTACCACTATCTCCAGAGCATAATTCCTTTATTAGCAGTAAGTTATACTTTTCCTGGCCACCTGGATGCAATTAAGCCCACTAGGTTCTACCACTCATCATCATGATGTCACAATAATTGACAAGAATAGATGTTTCTTTTTGGGTATTCAGAAGGCAGATGCCAAGTGACCGGAAGTTGCAGGAATGAAAGAGCTGAAACAAGGTCACACAAGGAACCCATAAAAACATCCTCTGGCTGCATACTCTGAGGCAAACAGAACTCATAGTCCATACCTAGATTTAACTAGGATTTGGAGAGGGGGAGGGGTCAGAATTAGGAATCTTGATATAGTCTATCTAAGCAGTAAATGCTTTAATATGTCTACTATTTGGACTAAAATTACCACATATTGTAATGCAACTAAATTAACTAAAATTAATAACAAAAATAGTACATATTATCAATATGTGTACATATGCATATGAGCTATTCCCTGTCCAGAGGTACAATCTGGGTGAGAAAGGACAAATGGAAGCCATGCTATTAACGTCCTGATGTCAAAGACACAGGCCTACTTTAACTCAATCTATTCTATGTACCCTGGGAAGTTCTTAGTAAGCAGTGAAGAGGGATCTTCATGTTTAGCTAAATTTAAGACTTTGGGGGGACATGGGGAAGGGGTTCGTACTACAAAATTTCCCTTGCAAGATCAGGGAAATCCGAGGCCGCAGAATTTACATTTAGGTAAAGCATCTCAAATATTTAGCAGTGTTTCCAGCTATCACCTACCAAGGACAGGAATCTTTCGAGATGTCTGACGATTATAAATAAGCAAATTTCCTTTAACAGTTCCAACAGCCAGGAAACTTCCAACTTTTGACCAAAGAAGGAAAGACATTTGATCCCTGTAACATTAAGATATAAATTACTAAACAATTCATGATCATAACCTCTAAACAGTCCTTTAAAAAAGTATTCCATGGATAATTTTAACGTCTACTTAGAAGCCAAAGTATAAAATACAAACTTAATGCTTTAGGACAAAGACTAAATGCTACAGACATTTTGGAGATGCTATAGGATGATCTGAGGGTCAGTTAGACTCAAAATACAAATGTATAATGAATGTCGACTTCAATTCAGTTATGATAGAACCTCAAAATTCATGAGATCACCTATGAGATATTTATTAATTTGTTTACTAGTGATAGTTTTAGCTCTAAATGTGATTAAAAATATTAATGGATGGTGAAACTTCATGCTTTAAAAAAGTGGCATCCAATAACATAATACACTAAATGGGAAAAATCATTAGTAATTCATGACCTTAAAA